TTGATGTACAGCCTGGTTGTGTATTGATGTACAGCCTGGTTGTGTATTGATGTGTGTTGTTGTGCAGCCTGGTTGTGTGTTGATGTGCAGCCTGGTTGTGTGTGGATATGCAGCCTGGTTTTGTGTTGTTGTGTAGCCTGGTTGTGTGTGGATATGCAGCCTGGTTGTGTGTTGTTGTGCAGCCTGGTTGTGTATTGATGTACAGCCTGGTTGTGTATTGATGTACAGCCTGGTTGTGTATTGATGTGTGTTGTTGTGCAGCCTGGTTGTGTGTTGATGTGCAGCCTGGTTGTGTGTGGATATGCAGCCTGGTTGTGTGTTGTTGTGCAGCCTGGTTGTGTGTGGATGTGTAGCCTTGTTGTGTGTGGATGTGCAGCCTGGTTGTGTGTTGATGTGCAGCCTGGTTGTGTGTGGATATGCAGCCTGGTTGTGTGTTGTTGTGCAGCCTGGTTGTGTGTGGATGTGTAGCCTGGTTGTGTGTGGATGTGCAGCCTGGTTGTGTGTTGTTGTGTAGCCTGGTTATGTGTTGTTGTGTAGCCTGGTTGTGAAGTTTCTGAGTGATGCTGACATGTGAAAACGGTCTTACAGCCTCGAGAATCCTTTACCACTGGGCCCGTCCACAGTCACCCGTCATGGTGTTTGCTAATGTAGCAGCCAAACATCAGAAACTTTACATAAATACAGCTGCAGTGCTACAAGTCCAGCCTGATTTTGCTGCAGTCTAGTGGTGTCTGAGGTGAACTTACAGAAACTACAGTTTGTAATTCACAGGTTATTGATTGTTTGTAAAAAAAAAAAAGTCTAAATGGTTGTTCTGGACTATTCCTTACATGCAATTGTATCAGGAGCCTCTGACTAACAGATTGTTTTAAAATCAAATTATAGTTTTATTAAACCTGAATCACAATTAAACAAACACAAAGTAAACCTGAGTGCAGAATAAAAAAACTAAATAAAACAAGGGGGAAAATGTTTTAGGTTAAGGGATTAGTCATGACTCAGGCATCAAAAACTCGACTTGTTACGCTGTTCTCGTCGGCTCTGCTTTTCAGGTTTTCATTAGTAAATTAGAGCTCCAGCCTCGCCGGCACTGGGATTAAACCAGTAGAGTTTTGTTGTGACTCAAAATAAATCCACCACATAAACTTTATTTACTGTTGCAGGTTTGTATCTCATGTTTGACAAATTTCACCCTCATTCATGCTGCTTATTCGACAATGTGATGAAAATAGAACCTGTTTGGTACGGTGTTTGTTTGGTGTTTTTGGCATGCATCTTAGTTTTTGTCTTTGTCTTGACAACAAAAAAGCATTTTAGTCTTAGTCAGTTTTAGTTGACTAAATCTCAAAAAGGTTTTAGTCTGCAAAGATTTTTGTTTTTAATTTTACAAAACATTAAACAAAGTATTATTCTCTAACAAATTAATTTATAGGTCAGACATGTACTCTGAGCTACTGGAGTGAGTTTCACACCAACATCATTTATTTTATGGCTATGGGACAAAATCTCAGCTGCCCCAGATTTTGTAAAACAATAATCCCCAGACATATCATTTTTTTACTTTATTTATAATCACAGTAGTTTATATAATTTACTGATGCAGATCTGTGCATCATTCTGTAGATTTTCACAAAAGAAATTTATGATTTTCTTTCCTTAACAGAATGGACTCTTGGGGAGAATACAGCGTATTCTACACAATATTTAAATAGAAATAAAGAAATGTGTTTGTTTAATTTAATATTTCAGTTATCAGACCTCCATCTTAGTGTCTTTACTTCTACTACTACCACTACTACTACTACTACTACTACTACTACTAATCTTTATTTATATAGCGCCTTCACATGGCCCAAGGACCAAACAAAGCGCTGCAAAGCAGAAGTGAACATAAAAAATAAAAACATATAAAACCATTTAAAAACCAACAAAAACATGTAGATAAAATCTAGGTGGGGCAGCATAAAAGTGCAAAGCCATCCATCAACGAGACTCTTCTTGAGTAAAAGCTAAAGAATAAAAGTGTGTTTTTAGCTGGCTCTTAAACTTGCTGAGCGTGGTGGCCTGTTTAACCCATGCAGGTAGCTCATTCCAGAGCCTCGGCCCCAGCACCGAGAAAGCACGACTCCCTCGAGATTTCAGTCTGTGTTTGGGAATGACCAACAGTCCTTGCTGTGCTTACCGAAGGTTCCTTGCGGGAACATAAGGATGGATCAGATCCGATAGATAACGTGGAGCCAACTCATTTAAACATTTAAAAACAAACACCAGAACTTTAAACGAAATTCTAAAAGAGACTGGAAGCCAGTGTAGGGATGCCAAGACTGGTGCGATGTGTTCAGATCTCCTGGTACCAGTCAGTAACCTGGCTGCCATATTTTGGACCTTCTGCAGTTTCACTATGGAGGCCTGCTTGATGCCTCCATAAAGCGAGTTACAGTAATCCAGTCTGTTGGTAATGAAGGCATGGATGACAGTTTCCAGATGTTTATGTGAAAGAAACGGCTTAATCCTAGCTATTCTCCTGAGATGGAAGTAGCAGGATCTGATTGTTCCATTGACCTGGGTGTCCAGTGTGAGCTCTACATCCAACTTCACCCCCAGGTTGGTGACCACAGCCTTCTCAAAAGGCGCTAATGAAGGAGAGTCAATCCCTTGGGCACATCCATGTTTGTTTTTTGGGCCGAACAGGATAGTCACAGTTTTATTCTGGTTGAAGAACAAAAAATTCTGAGCCATCAATAACTTGACCTCCTCCAAGCAGTCCAAGAGTCGTTTAAAAGAACTTGAGTTATTGTATGATACGTTGTGCTGACGAAACAAGTCACCCAGCGGCAGCAGATAGAGGGAAAAGAGGAGAGGTGCCAGGACTGATCCTTGAGTCACTCCACATTGCAAATCAGCAGTATCAGACAAACAGTCCCCCAGTCTTACACAAAAATTCCTCCCTGACAGGTAAGATTTTATCTACTGGAGTGCTAAGCCTGATATTCCCACCCAGATCTCCAGTTGACCAATCAGGATATTGTGGTACGGTGTCAAATGCAGCAGTCAATTCCAAGAGCACCAAAATCACTGCCTCCCCACAATCGTTTGCCATCAGGATGTCATTCAAAACTATCAACAGGGCTGATTCTGTACTATGGAGAGACTTAAACCCAGACTGAAAAATCTCTAGTATCTCATTTTCATGCAGAAAGGATATCATTTGGGCATACATAAGTTTTTCTAAGACCTTAGCTAAGAAAGGCAGTGTGGAAACAGGCCTATAGTTTGACATATTCGATGAATCTAGGCCAGCTTTCTTCAGCAGAGGGCGCACTACTGCATGTTTAAAAGAGCTGGGAACTTCACCCGACAGTAGACTGCTATTTATAATTTCTAGAACATAAGGAGACACAACTGGAAAAACTTCTTTTTTTTTTTTAGCAGGGACTGCGTCCAATACAGAACCAGATGGTTTCAGACTATTGACCACCTTCTCCAACTCTATGAGAGATGTTGGATAAAAGCTCTTCAGGAGCCCTGGGGTAGGACCCCGAAGAGGAGGGTGGTAATTGGAGGGTGTGATCGAAGCCTTCATCCTCCCCACTTTGTCAACAAAGCAGCTGAGGAAATTATTACAGGATTCTGTAGTGTACTCAATAGCAAACGGTTCATTTCCATTTAAAATAGAATCCAAAGTGCTAAAAAGAACCCGAGGATTCTGTGAGTTGGAGGAAATAATGTCAGCAAAGAACTTAATTCTTGCCTCTTTCACAGCTTTCTGGTAGGCTACCCAGCTATCTCTCAGTAGGTCCAGGGAGTTCTGAAGCCCATCCCGCTTCCACCTACGCTCTGCCTTCCTACATTTCCTTTTGAAGTCCTGTGTGGTCATATTTAGCCATGGCTACTTTTTACATTTATGTTTCTTAGCCTGCACAGGTGCAACAATCTCTAAGACCTTCGAGCATGTTGCGTTCAAATGTGCAGTAAGCTCCTCAGTGCTACTAGGCCCAGCAGTTTGCCCCTGCCCCACCAACCCAAACACTGAGCAAAACTCAGTGGCCGTAGAGGACTTTAACACCCGGCAGAGGACACTACATCACAGGCTGACTGGGGAAAGGCACATTAAATAAAACAGGTCTATGGTCCGAGAAAAAGGCCTCACCAACCTGCAGATTGGAAGCAGATACCCCAAAAGACAACACAAGGTCCAGGATCTGCCCACACCATCTTGCCCAACCCTTTAAATGTATATTGTGGCAAAGTCCACCTACTTAAATGCAGTCATGTTTTTCCATATAACTGCAATGTTGAGTTTTCACGAGCCCACAGAGTTAATACAGTAAACCCAGTTCTGCTCTTGAGCATCAGCAGAGATACTCATAGACATTTAGATGGGCTTCAACTGTTAACGCCGTTGGGTTAAAAAGCAGGAATGTGACTCGTTATTAGGAATCAGGGAGCAGAGACAATAATCCTGACACACTGACTGTAAAACATTCGTCTTAAATGTTTTCAGATAAAACCTGTTTAATAATTTTTTTTTTTCATTTCTCTGCCCAAAAGTATGACTTTTTCAGGAAGCACGCGGATAAGAAACGTGTTAATATTACGGACTAATTTGAAAGTAGCAACGTCGTCGCTTGTAGTAGCGTCAATGAGCGGCTGAGCGCTGCGTGTTCCCGCGGCAGGGAAGCGTTTGTTTGTTGAAGAAGATTAATCAGAACCTTTGAGAAAACAGAGCTTAGAGAAACTTCGCACCAGGCCGATGACTTTCTACGGGCCAGATTTAAGTAAACGAGCCCTAATGTTCCTTTTTAGGTGTTTAAAGCAAAAATATACGTTATAAAATCAGTTAATCTAAATTAAAGTCAGCATCAGAATCGTAAAAAGGACATGAAGGCGAGGAGGAGTTCCTGGTTCTGGAGATATAGAACAGGACTAGATCAGGTTCTTTTCCTGTCTAAGCATCTGGGGTCTGACTAATCCACCGTCACGCATTCTTCTGTTTCCAGATGTTCACTGACCTTCTGAAGCACACGCCTCCTCCGGCCTCCTCTGCTGCAGCCTCCTCCTCTGCCTCGGACCAAGACGGCAACGCACAAACCGCAGTTCCCACAATCCCAAGAGGACACCTGGTCGTTGGCCCCAAAGACCAGCTCCGGCTCCTGACCCCCGTGGGCAGCACGGCCACATCCAATCACTGCGCCGTAGCTGGGGTCCACGTCGCCAAGCACTCCGGAGGAGCCCCGCGACCTCCTTTCTCCCTGAGCGAGGAGGGCGATGGAGGAGGTGGAGGCAGGGTGAAGAAGAAAAGGAAGAAAAAGGATAAGAGGCAATGGGAGAAAGGAGGAGCAGACGTGGAGGAGAAGGAAAGCAGCAGACCAAAGAAACGGAAGGAGGAGAAGGGGCCGATGGTGCTCACGCTAAGGAGGAGCAAGCTGCCCAAGGAAGGCAAGGAGGGGAAGGAGCGACGGAGGAAAGGAGCGGAGAGTGGAAGCGACCTGAGGAATACGTCGAGTGGGAAAACATCAGGTCCGGCAGCTGCCCGAGATCCAGCTCAGGTGCCTGTAAAGGTTCCCGGAAAAAGAGGGAGGAAACCTAAAATCAAAGTGCTTCCTCCTCAGCCCTCAAACCAAGGTTCGTTTTGAGTCTGGGATGAGTTTGTGCTGAGGTTCTGTTGGGCTTAGATGGGTGTCCCTTCATTAGGTGTTAATGTCTGAGTCAACAGCTCCATATTGTGATTCCTGAGGGATTGAAGTCATCTCTGTGTTTGGATCTCGGCTCGTTGTTAAGCTCGGTGATGAGAAGACAAACGTGTTTCTTTATCCAGATAAAAAGCCGAAAGGTCCCAGCATCTTTCAGCAAATCTGGAAATTAGTCAAGCTGTGTGTTTATCTGTGCTCTTAGCTCATCTCACTGTTAATTCCAGAGCCAACCAGAGGCAGAGATGATGGATGTTCTATTCTGGGATGTCCCTGAATCACGATTAGACGTGTCAGGAAGAATGACTGTTATTATATGCTTGCTGCTCCTAATTGAGAATCAGTAATTTTGTTTGTTTGCATGTGTGGGCGGGAGCATTAGCATTCTGTCAGAGTAGAAAAACTGATAAAAGAGGGAAGGAAACCCGATTTATGTCTGGGATTATCTGGTGATGCTTCAGTCACGTTGGTTTCATGAGGAAGTTAGATGAAGTGACTGCTATCGCTAACTCCCGTTCTCTATTTGTGACCTTTATTATTTGGCTCAACAACTTTACTCTCTTACGGTTCTGGAGACACATTTTACAGAAAAGGTTGCTCTCTGAAGTTCTTAATGTAGTTTAGTGGTAAACTTAACTCATTTATTCAAGACCACTGCAGATGTGTGGAGAAAACGAGGGAAATTCCTCTCTGACTTGACCCCTGGATGCAACATGAGTGCTACTTTTTGTTGATATTCACACTTCTACAAAACAAAAAAACTCTTCATAAATGAAATTAATATGAAAGCTGACAGTAAAGAAAACAGTAGCACAGTTTGCTCTCTTGGCTGCTCTCAGACTCTCTGAAGAACACAAACTATTTCTCTGAACAGAGGCTGTTCAGAAGGCTATCTACAACTTGGATAAACTTTAAAATAAGATGAAATCCCTTTAATAATGTTTAAAACTGCATATGTGTCTCTTAAACGTTTTGCTTTAAACCGATAAATCCTTTGATCTTGTTGATGTTTTCCCAACAGCCTCTTCTGCCTCCTCAAGGCAGATCAGCTACGCCCAGAGTCATGGGAGGAGTCCAGGCCTGGCCAACAGCAAGACGTCTGTCTCTACAACACCAAAACAGAGGGGTCGCAAACCCAAGTAAGGCTTTCTTGGAACGACCGCCATGTTGGATTGGCAGCAACCTGATGCCCATTTACTCCGAGCTGTTGTTCAGGAGAACCGCTGCATGATCACCACTCTGTTCAGCTTCTCACAAAATCAGTTCTAATGTTGTGAACTAAAACATTTGGACTAAAATTTTACTCCGAACCATTAAAACTGCGTGGATTTTATATGATAATGCATCTCCGAAGCTTAAATTAGCAGGCATCAAACTTCTTACTGAACAGTTTTCTAATCTGTCCGTGCTTCCTAACGAACATGAATGTAGCTAAACTGAGAAGGAAGAATGGAGGAGTAAGACCGGAGGGAGTGGGGGAAATAGCAATGCTGAGATCAGGAGGAGCGTGATTGTGAACGACTTTGAATGCTCGCAAGAGAACTTTGAAGGTCATTCTGAACTTGGCCGATAGCCGGTGAAGGATGGAGGTGATATGAAGTGGAGGAGAGAGGTGTGAGGATCATGGCTGTGAGACAAAAGGGAACGTGTTCAGTAAGAGTACAGGAAGAGGAAGAGCAGCAGGGATTATGATACAAAAACAGATCTGAGCCGAGGCAGAAGGAGACGAGACTCCAGTGGGTCATTTTCAAAACTCTTCAAGTAGGATGTGGGTTTGAAGGACCCGCCCACTCACCTGCACACAACAGAGCTTTAACCTGTAAGTTCTGCTCTTAGGTTTAGCTGTAATGTATGTCGATGTTTATAACATCATCTGGGAAGACTTTCCATGAGGTTTAGGAATGTTTTAAGGAATTTTTTTATCCATTTTTCCAGAAGTCAGGTTAAATGGCAAAACGGAAAACTCTTCAGTTAGGTATTAGATCAGCAGCTGTGTACACATCTGGATATGCAGTTTTATAGGCGAAGCTCTGATCAGCTGGTAGATTACAATCATCTGATTTCCTTATCAGCAGCTCAGTTTCACAGATTAACCCACCCGCTGTTTTTTTTTCTGTCGTCACGATGAGAATATAACAAATTTACCAAGAACTGTCAGACGCCGCTCATCAAGAATCCTATTTCCTTCACAGAGATCCGGGCGCAGCGCCGGTGGAGAAGAAAAAGAAAGGAAAGAGGAGAAACCAGGAGCTTCAGGAAGGGGGGGAGAGCGACGATACTACCTCAGTGTCAGCTCTCAACATGGGAGGGGAGGACAGCCAGGACCCCCTGGATAACGCCGTATGTTCAGAAATCAAGCTTTTAGATTTTCTTCTTACATTTTCTCTTGTTTCCTACTCTGAATTTCTTCTTTTCTTATTTTTTTCAGCAGATAAATTTGGTTTCTATCCTGTTTTTCAGAAGCGGCGTTCAGGAAGGCAGGTCAAAAGGAGGAAGTATAATGAGGACATGGACTTTAAGGTGGTGGACGATGATGGAGAGACGATCGCGGTCCTTGGAGCCGGACGCATCTCGGCGCTGAACGCTACGGCTCTGGCCTGGCAGGCTGAAGTAAACACAGATATCTTTTGCCACTGCTGCTTGTCTTCCATCATTTCTAACGTTTTTGTTTGATATTAAGGAATTACTGTGTTATATTTCTGCCGTGCAAACTCAGGAGCCACCAGAGGACGAAGCCAACATCATCGAGAAAATTCTGTCAGTCAGAAAAGCAAAGACCGAGGTGAGCGACGGAGAAAACAAACAAGTTTTTTTCTTTGGATTTTGATCATTTTGTTATATTTATCTTTCGTACCGTCTTTTTAGACTTCACCAGAGGACCAAACAGAGGAAACTGAGGAGTTTTACGTCAAATACAGAAATTTGTGAGTGTATTGTTTTAGCTTGAAATCAATTTTTTTATTTTTTGTGAGGGAAAATCCTGCTAAATAGCAGCTAGTGCTTTTAGTCTGTCTTTATTTATATTTCTGGTGCGTTTTCAATTTTATGTGTCTGCTTCATTAATTGGCGAGCGCCTGGCGGCTGGGCTCTTACCCGTGGAGCGCAAGGAGGCCAAGCACAGCCTAAAGAGGAGACATGGGTCCCCTTTTCCATGAGCTCACCACTCGTGGGAGGGGCCAAAGGGGTCGGGAGCATTGTGTGTCGGGTGGTAGCCAAAGGCAGGGAGCTTGGTGGTCTGATCCTCAGCTACAAAAACTAGCTCTTGGTACGTGGAATGTCACCTCTCTGGTGGGGAAGGAGCCAGAGTTGGTGGTTGCGCTTGAGAGGTTCCAGCTAGATATAGTTAGACTCAGCTCAACGCATGGCTCCGGCTCCGGAACAAGTTTCCTCAAGAGGGGTTGGACTTTCTATCACTCTGGAGTTCCTCCCACTGAAAGGCGTCGAGCAGAGGTGGGCATACTAGTTGCCCCCCATCTTGGTGCCTGTATGTTGGGGTTTACCCTGGTGAACAAGAAAGTAGCCTCCCTTTGCCTTCATGTGGGGGGATGGGTCCTGACTGTGGTCTGTGCTTGTGCACCAAACCACAGCTCAGACTACCCACCCTTTTTTGGGGTCCTTGGAGGGCGTGCTGGAGAGTGCTCCTTCAAGTGACTCCCTCGTTCTGCTGGGGGACTTAAATGCTCATGTGGGCAATGACAGTGAGACCTGGAGAGGTACAGTAGGGAGGAACTGCCCCCCTGACCTGAATCTAAGTAGTTTTTTGTTATTGGAGTTCTGTGCCAGTCATGGATTGTCCATAGCGAACACCCATGTTCAAGCATAAAGGTGTCCATGTGTGCTCTTGGCACCAGGATACCTTAGGCTGCAGTTCGATGACTGACTTTAGTTGTTTCATCTGATCTGCGATGAAGAGAGGGGTGGAGCTGTCAACTGACCACTACCTGGTGGTAACTTGGCTTCATTGGTGGGGAGGATGCCAGCCAGACCTGGCAGGCCTAAACGAGGGCCTGCTTGGAACGTCAGGCGGAGTCTCCTTTCAGAAAAAAACTTCAATTCCCACCTCCCACAGAACTTCGAACATGTCCCGAAGGAAGCAGGGGACATAGAGTCCCAATGGGTCATGTTCCATGCTTCTGTTGTTGAGGCGTCTGACCGGAGCTGCGGCCGCAGAGTTGTCGGTGCCTTTCATGGTGGCATCCCCCGAACCCGCTGGTGGACACCGGTGGTTAGGTATGCGGTCAAGCTTAAGAAAGAGTCCTATCAGGTCTTTTTGGCCTGAGGGATGACAGAGACAGCTGATGGGCACCGGCAATACAAGCAGAATTCTGCGCAGGTGGCCACAGAGGCAAAAACCCAGGTGTCGGAGGAGTTCAGTGAGACCACGAAGCAAAACTTCCTCACAGCTTTAAGGAGATTCTGGTCCACCGGCCGGCACCTCAGGAGGGGAAAGCAATGCGCTACCAACACTTTTACGGTGGTAACGGTGTGTTGCTGACCTCTAAACGGGATGTTGTGGATCGGTGGGCAACATGCTTTGAAGACCTCCTACATCCCCCTGGCACATCTTCTAGTGAAGAAACAGAGTCTGGGAACTTTAGGTTGAACTCTGCTGAGGCTGTCCTGTGTCACCGATTCTGTTCATAACCTTTATGGACAGGATTTCTAGGCACAGCCAAGCTGTTGAGGGCATCTGTTTTGGTGGCCTGAGGATTGGGTCTCTGCTTTTTGCAGATGATGTGGTCCTGTTGGCTTCATCAGAACGTGATCTCCAGCTTTCGCAGCAACGGTTCACAGCCGAGTGTGAAGCAGCTGGGATGAGAATCAGCTCCTCTAAATCCAGGACCATGTTCTTGAATCAGAAAAGGGTAGAATGCCTTCTTTGGGTCAGGAATGAGGTCCTGCCTCAAGTGGAGGAGTTTAAGTTTCTCGGGGTCTTGTTCTTGATTGAGGGAAACATAGAGCATGAGATCGATAGCTGCATTGGTGCTGCATCTCCAGTGATGTGGGCATTGTACCAATCTGTCGTGGTGAAGAGAGCTGAGCCAGTTGAGGTGGCTCAGGCATCTGGTCAGGATGCTTCCTGGCCGTCTCCCTGGTGAGGTTTTCCGGGCACGTCCAACTGGGAGGAGACCCAAGGGAGGACCCAGGACACACTGAAGGGACTATGTCTGTCTGCTGTCCAGGGAACGCCTTGGGATTCCCCCGGAGGAGCTGGCCCAAGTAGCTGGGGAGAGGGAAGTCTGGGCCTCTCGGCTTGTGCCCCCCGCGACCCAACTCCAGATAAGCGGCTAAAAATGGATGGATGGATGCTTCATTAATAGTTTATGGAACAGCTGCTGGGGACTTGGTAGTTTGTAGAAACACTTTTAACTGGACTCGATTTTGTATTTCTGATTCATTTCTTAAGTTCCTCCTCAGAAAGCCGGTTAGGTTGTCATTTGTTTTGTCACTTTAAATCTTAACAAAATTGAAAAACACAACAGTGATCATGACCTTAATTTATTCTCTGGGGTGATAAAGAAAACATGAGTTCAGCTCCACTTACACTAAACCGAATGAATCCTAAATATTTTATAAATGCAGTTTTAGGATTAACACAGTGATATCGATGATAAATAATAAAAGTTAGTGATTTTACTGATGGCAGTGACCTTTCTGTTCATCCATTTATAGATTGTGTTTTATGGATTAAATGAAGCAGCTGACTGTAACCATAGCAACAGTGTTGATTCTGCTGCCTTTTCAGTCCACTAACGATCAGGGAAGTCTTTGTCCATTAGGCGCAAAAACCTTTAGGACATCGTGTTTTTTCTTGAATGATTTAGCGGTTAAAGGTGGAGGAGATGATGTCTTCATTAGTTAGACCTGATTAGCCCAAAACGGTCTCCTAACACATGGATTTTCTGCTTCCTGATCACGTGACGTGTGACGTACGGGGACGAAGATCGGCTTTAGAGCTGGGCTGTTTGTTCTCACGGTGCGGGGGCTCGTTCCGACACAGTAAAAAAATGCAAATGGCGACCTTAGTCGTCAATGGCAGTTAATGAGTTAAGAGGCATAACAAATGTTTTAAGTTAATTTGTTTTATAAATGTTCTGTAGTAGCTTTAAGCGGGAGTTTGTCTTATATGGAGTATTTCTATTTTATTTTTGACTTATTTGTGTATTTCATTCAAAGGAAGGAAATACTCTTGAGTAATACCAAGCTAGTTTGACTTATACCAATTAAGTCCAAGTTAGTATGATTTAAGTCTGAGTTGGTCTTAGACTGACATGTACCAAGTTAGACCAACAGAGGTAATCCGAGTTAGACCAAGATAACTCAGAGTTAGTCTGAGTTAAGAGTTAAGACAACGTTAGTATGAGCAACTCAGTTAGATTGAGTCCGAGTTGGACCAAGTCAACGTTAGACTGGGCTTGTTTGAGTTCAGACAGAGTTATTCTGAGTTAGACTAACTGAGTCAGTCTGAGTTGAGTGTTCTTTCTTTCTCGTGTTGTTTCAGCTCCTACCTGCACTGTAAATGGGCCACTTTGGAGGAGCTGGAGAAAGATCCCAGAATCCACCAGAAGATAAAACGTTTCAGGACCAAACAGGCTCAGATGAAACACCTGTTCACAGAGGTAACCAGCACTGCCATCCACTGATTGTTTTGGACGTTTTGCAGCCAATCTCATTGCGGGATTAACTCAGACTGAGTTCTGATGTCTGGTTTTGTTCTTCTTAGCCTGATGAGGATTTATTTAATCCAGACTACGTAGAGGTGGATCGTGTGCTGGAAGTAGCTGTTACCACCGACTCTGAAACTGGAGAGGTACATAACGTGCACACACACACACACACACACACACACACACACACACACACACACACACACACACACACACACACACACACACACGTACTATTTGTCTGTGTTGCTGTAGGAGGTGACCCATTACCTGGTTAAGTGGTGCAGTCTGTCGTATGAGGAGGCCACCTGGGAGCTGCAGGAAGATGTGGACCCGGAGAAGATCAAGGAGTTTGAGGAGATCCAGAAACCACCGCCAGACCTGAGACACATTGTGAGTAGAAACGGCAATAAATGTGATGAACAGCTGAGTTATGAGAGGACCACACTGGCATAGTTAATTAACAAAATTAAAAAACGGGTAAAAAGCTGTTTATTCATAATATTTATGAAATAAACTCTTTAAAGTAATTGTTTATAAACATGAGTTTGTTAGAAGGAATGTTTCTGTAAACACTCTGGATGGGTTCGTTACTCTCCAGCTAGATTAAACTAACGTGATGTGATTGGACATTGAATCATCACAGGAGCGTCCGTCTCCAGAAAAATGGCAGAAACTGGAGAATTCCAGAGATTATCGTAACGGAAACCAGCTCAGGGAATACCAGCTGGAAGGGATGAACTGGTTACTGTTCAACTGGTACAACAGGTACGTACGTATACACACACTCACACGCACGTGCGCACACATCTAACGGGGGTATGTCTCCGTAGGAAAAACTGCATCCTGGCTGATGAGATGGGTCTGGGAAAAACCATCCAGTCCATCACCTTCCTGTTCGAGATCTTCAGCATGGGGATCCGTGGTCCCTTCCTCATCATCGCCCCGCTGTCCACCATCACCAACTGGGAGAGGGAGTTCCGTACGTGGACGCACATGAACGTCATCGTGTACCACGGCTCGCAGATCAGCCGTCAAATGATCCTGCAGTACGAGATGTTCTACAGAGACGCGCAGGTAGGGTTACAGAATTACTCTGTACTTCAAATGGAGTACAAGTACATACAGCAGGGTACTTAGAGCAGAGTACTTGCAGACAATATATACATATACATATGTATGTATGTATGTATATATATATATATATATATATATATATATATATATATATTATAAACAAAATAAACCAAAGAAGGGATGAGTGAAATGTGTTCATGACACTGAAGCACCAAAAACAGTGTTCTTGATTGATACGCAGTAAACATAACAAAATACCAATAAAGTAATAAATATTATCTATCTATCTATCTATCTATCTATCTATCTATCTATCTATCTATCTATCTATCTATCTATCTATCTATCTATCTATCTATCTATACATACATACATACATACATACATACATACATACATACATACATACATACATACATACATACATACATACATACATACATACATACATACATAGAGAAAATAAGACAAAAAAAAAGTGCAAATGTGATGCAATCCAATATGGCTGCCACCTGATGATGTCACAATATGCAAATTATGTGAGTGAATTTGTCCCTATCATAAAATTTGGCTCATACTGAAGATTTTTCTAATTTAAAATATTCCTCTATCTCTAACCAGATTTAAGCTACAAGCTCTTTAATTAGTGATATAAAAATTTCATATTTTACTGAGAAAACTATGGCGCCTAAAGGGTTAACATGTGTTTTTACTTCCTGAGGGTTTTTAAGAGAAGAACAACTACATGGATCCTGATGGGGTTTTAACATTCTCTCTTACTCCTCCTTCTCCACCTGCAGGGAAACACGGTTCCAGGTGTGCTGAAGTTCCACGGCCTGATCACCACGTTTGAGATGATCATGGCCGACTGCCCGGAGCTGAGGAAGCTGCAGTGGCGCTGCGTCGTGATCGACGAAGCTCACCGGCTGAAGAACAGGAACTGCAAACTGCTGGAGGGACTCAAACTCATGAACCTGGTCAGTCTGCTCCCCTCTACTTGTGCCTGGTTCCGTTTGAGGCTTCGGGTTTTTAAAAGTGATCTCCGTCTCGACAGGAACATAAGGTTCTGCTGACAGGAACTCCTCTGCAGAACTCCGTTGAGGAGTTGTTCAGCTTGTTGAACTTCCTGGAGCCACAGCAGTTTCCCTCAGAGAGCTCCTTTCTGGAGGAGTTCGGAGACCTGAAGACAGATGAGCAGGTGAGTTCCCTTCAGGACCGCAGTCGAGTCTAAAACCAGAACTGAAGAGGGAGAAAAGGAAAAAGATTTGAGAAGTTCTTTGTTTTCTTCATCAGGTGAAGAAGCTTCAGTCCATCCTGAAGCCCATGATGCTGAGGAGACTGAAAGACGATGTGGAGAAGAATCTAGCTCCTAAAGAGGAGACCATCATAGAGGTTGGTCTGTGTCTGATGCCTAAAGACACACATGAGCTAACGGCTAATCGTAAACTGGTTAACTCTTCAACCAGCAGCTCGACCAGCTGGTGGAGAAAAAGTTTTATTCCCCAAAACTCATTTAAAGCCTAAATGGAATCAACTGAGATGAAAAATCTAAACTATTAAAAACAAATTGGAGATAAATGAGAAAAAAAAATTGAATAATATCCTTACGCTGAAATTACCCTGATATTATTTATATATTATTATCAGTTGACTCTAAAATATAACCCTGGTTGCCCCATAAAAGATTAAAAAAAATACAAAAATTATAATTACTTCTTCTCTGCATGGAAGTAACGGCTCATTGTAATTTATTTGTTAAACAATATGCAGTGTAATAAAATGTAATATATGAACAGATGATGGTCTTCAGCCTGCAGATGCTGAAAAACATGAACTTTACAAAATCTTCAGGAACAATAAATAAATAAATAAAAATGAATGAATTAATAAAACAAAGACACATTTATTCCAAAATGTAAAATGAAACAAATGTATGGTTATCGAATTGTGTACCTCCTTTTTGTGTTTGTTAAGGTGGAGCTAACAAACATTCAGAAGAAATACTACCGCGCCATCTTAGAGAAGAACTTCTCCTTCCTGTCTAAAGGAGCCAACCAGCACAACATGCCCAACCTCATCAACACCATGATGGAGCTCCGGAAGTGCTGCAACCACCCGTACCTGATCACGGGTGAGTGAACTTCGAGACGTCACCAGCACAGTTTCATCCTCCCGGATTTGAACAGGCGTTGTTTTTACGGATCTGACCCTTTTAGGAGCTGAAGAGAAGATTCTGGAGAGCTTCAAGAAGAGCCACCATCCTGATGCACCAGACTTCCAGCTACAGGCCATGATCCAGGCAGCGGGGAAGCTGGTTCTCATCGACAAGCTACTGCCCAAACTGCTGGCTGGTGGACACAAAGTTCTGGTCTTCTCCCAGATGGTTCGCTGTTTGGACATCCTGGAAGACTACCTCATACAGAGACGGTGAGCGTGTTAAGTCGGGAGTCATCGGAGCGATGAGGAGGAATGCTTTTAACGTTTGTTTGTTTTTTAGCTACACGTACGAACGCATCGATGGACGCGTTCGGGGGAACCTCAGGCAGGCAGCCATCGATCGGTTCTGTAAGCCAGACTCGGACCGCTTTGTGTTCCTGCTCTGCACCCGAGCCGGAGGACTGGGGATCAACCTGACGGCCGCGGATACCTGCATCATCTTTGACTCGGACTGGAACCCTCAGAACGACCTGCAGGTAGGAGGAGGGGACAAGCTCTCATCACGATTTCTCATGTCTCTGTTATAAGAGGAGTTAAAGTTCTTATTCCTGAGTGATGGAGGACAGAAGGTCAGAGTAGAGCTCCTCCTCCTGTCTCCTCCCTCTTACCTCAGTGACAGCACAGTAAACACATTAAACAGTAAAGATAACACCCGTAAAACTGGTTTATGGATTTTAAATCCTGCTATTCAGCCTAGGTGCACTCAGGGTAATGTTAGGAACGTCCTAGAGAAGCAGGTCTGATGTTTCTCCTGCTTCAGGCTCAGGCACGCTGCCATCGGATCGGTCAGAGCAAAGCGGTGAAGGTCTACAGGCTGATCACCAGGAACTCCTATGAGAGGGAGATGTTCGACAAGGCCAGTCTGAAGCTGGGATTGGACAAAGCTGTCCTCCAAGACATCAACCGTAAAGGAAGCCTGAACGGGGTGAAAGTGCTGAGCAGTCGTAACTTTTTCTGTGTTGGTGGGATGGGCGGAGCTGTGATTTTCATCCTGTGTGTGTCTGCCACTGAAGGTGCAGCAGCTCTCTAAACTAGAGGTGGAGGATTTGCTGAAGAAAGGAGCATACGGGGCGCTGATGGACGAAGAAGACGAAGGCTCCAAGTTCTGTGAGGAAGACATCGACCAGATTCTTCAGAGGCGAACTCAGACCATCACCATCCAGTCTGAAGGGAAGGGCTCCACCTTTGCAAAGGTAGGACTTGGGATCTGACCTGAGGTCAGGATGGATACCTGTCCTCATTTACATTCTCCTGACTTTATTTTCTTTCATCTGGTTTTCTTTTAGGCCAGTTTTGTGTCCTCTGGAAACCGAACCGACATCTCGCTAGACGACCCAAACTTCTGGCAGAAATGGGCAAAGATTGCAGAAGTGGAGATAGACTCCAGATCAGAGAAGGTAGGTGGGGGTGCACTCCAAGCCCTTCAGTCCCTCTGAAGTGATGAGAACAATGTTTATATTTAAGTTGGCAGTAAATAAATACATTTATGTAATCATTTTAGACGTATTAGTAGCAGACGTTAGAACAAAGCTTTCAGGTACTATAACTACCTTAGATATAAACACAACTATTATTAATATATTTATTATTATGCTTTTACGACATTAAGGTTCATTTTAGTCCCTGTATCGAACTAAAACATGCACATATTTAACAGTTATTATCTTAGGAAGCAGTTTTAATATACTGATGCCGATATATTGTACATTCCTAACTACTAGTGTTGGTCAGTGTGTTTAAATAATTGTAAGAACTACTTTTGGTTTTCAGAGATTGTAACAATTTTTATGCTGCTGCTACAAGTTTTTGTTCTGTGTTACAAAACCAGCGCTACAAGCCCTGAGCCACAATAGAGGCTAACGACTCCTCAGTCTGATGGGAGAGAAAACACTGTGACTGAAATGAAGACGTTTAGTGGATGATGGAAGTGAAATTAGGATCGGGGTGTTAACAAACACCTGAGATGTCTCCATTTTGTGAATTTCTCTTGCGGTCTCTGGGAGCAGGAGTCCCTGGTGATCGACACTCCTCGTGTGAGGAAGCAGACACGTCACTACAACTCCTTTGAGGACGACGAGCTGATGGAGTTCTCGGAGCTGGACAGCGACTCGGAGGAGAGGCCCTGCAGGACCCGTCGCCTTGGCGACCGCAGCAGGCGGTACCTTCGAGCCGAGTGTTTCCGGGTGGAAAAGAATCTTCTGATCTTTGGGTGGAACACTAAAACTTGTTTTAATCTTTTTTTTTCTCATTAGTCATGATGAGTATAAGTCCTGCTTTCAGATTACTTTATATTCTCGTCTGCGACTTGTTGGAGACAAAATGACTGAATAGTGTATTTTGTTAGCCTCAAGGCCAACCTGAAGGCTTGATTATCACCTGCAAGTCGCTTTGGACAAAAGCTTCTGCTAAATACTTAAACATAAACAAAAGCACGATGAGTGAATTTTCACTCAGAATTGTGTTGAACTGAATATGTTTAGCAAATCTTCTGCTCACAAAATGTCTTCATTATGTCTCAAATCGTTCTGAGTTTGCTCTATTTTTATTTGCGATTCTTTCTCAGACTGAAAGTACACCAGTGATGATTCTGAGAGGAGTTTAGTCTCAGGAAACTTTGAAACCACGAGTGAGGAACCTTTTGAGACATTAGAAACTGTGAGATTCTGGCCATATTCTGGGAAATAAAAACCATTTATTTAGTTCTTTTTTTATGATCGGAGGATAAATATTTCCTTCAAATTTAAAATAAATGATATATCGGTTTACTTCCTGATGAGAAAATGAGATTTATTTGTGTTATTCATCGACTTTTGTTCTACTGGAAATGGGGAAGTAATATTTAGTTTTATTTGTTCCAGTGAATCCAAAGATGGAGGAGCTGTAAACACTTGCAGCCCACAGAGAAGCTGACTTGTGTGGATGCTCGCATTTCCATCTCTTTTATTTAACTTCTGACATTTTTAAAATGCTTTCAGCTGGGGCCGGTGGAAGGACATCCTCAACCACGGCCGGTTCAAATGGCACCTCCAGGAGAGGGACATGGAGGTGATCTGTAGGTAGGTTTCCTCGCTGACGACGGTTAATCAGAACCAGCAGTGATTCTCTGAGATGACTCCTGTGTTTTATCAGGGCTCTGCTGGTTTACTGCCTGAAACACTACAAAGGAGATGACAAGATCAAGAGCTTCATCTGGGATCTGATCTCTCCTTCTAAAGAAGGCCATGACCAGGCGCTGCTCAACCACTCAGGTTAGTAGCAGATTCTGCATCAGGTTAACCCGCTTTAATAACACGATACAGTGCTGAAGCCAAATATTTTCTCCTATTATTTTGGCAGGTTTGTCAGCTCCGGTTCCCCGGGGCAGGAAGGGGAAGAAGCTGAAGAATCAGCTGAACGTTCCCGAGGTGAAGAACGCTGATTGGCTGGTCCACTGTAACCCTGAGGTGGTGCTGCAGGACGAGAGCTACAAGAAACACCTCAAACAGCACTGCAACAAGTCAGTTCAGGAGAAGTTCCCCTAAATGTGTCTTTTCTGTCCTGCTGGAAACAAATAAGAATTTACCTGAAACATGTCTGCAGGTTTTTTTATTCTTCACGGTTTCTTTCAGAGCAAAAGTTACCAGAAACAATTAATTCAATATTTTGCAGCTAATAGTTTGGTAAATAATGGCGCTTACACATTAGCATCAGCACGGCCCCAAAAGGTACCGAACGGCACCGGAATTTGGTTTCACACACAAGTCAGATTTTCGTTTTCGGTGCCGAGGCGACTCTTTTTCTCAGACCTTCTCCCCAGTCCGCCTTTGTTTACCTTATAATGGAGGACACCACGGACTTGCCCGCATGTATTAAACGCCGCCCACAGGCTCGGGGTTTTCCTCATTCCTGAGAAGTCCCTCGGATTTATATGTGAACACTACACCGCCATTCGAGATCGAACTCACGCCATCCAGCCCAACCAAACCCTGACCGGGTCGACGCTAATGTGTTCGCGCCTTGAGTGACCCACGCTTGCATAGTGCCTTTGCACTTAATGCTGTTTTGTGTCGTTTCACCTTCAAATATGATTTAATAAAATGTTGGTTATTCAGCACCTTAGGTTTAGTTTTAACTACAAAGGTTCTCAACTCTCATAGTAAAGACTTTACTTTTGTTTTGGTCTCATTGTGGAGACGTTAGGACAACAGGAACCAGAACCGGAAACTCTTACTGTTGACGTTTGGTCCCAGAACACCAGGCGTGTCCATCATGTCGAAGTTTACCTGTCGTGTTTTTTCTCCTCACAGGGTTCTCCTCAGAGTCCGGATGTTGTACTACCTGAAGGTGGAGGTTTTAGGAGAAGCTGCTAATCAGGTTGCAGAGGGAGTGTCTGCCAGGTATGCAGCATCCAGCGGGATGTGTGGTTCCATCATTCTGTCAGGAAAATCTGGAAGGAGTTGAGAATTGTCTGATTTGTCCAAAGGGGAGAAACGATACATGTGCGGCTTGTTTTGTGTTTTTATCCTTTTTTTTAGACTCTGACAGCCTATTGGTTTGTTTTTGTTTGTTTGTTTTTGTGTGTTGACAGTAAACTGGAGGTTCCGATGCCCGACATCGACTACATTGAGATTCCAGTGACATGGTGGGATGTAGAAGCCGACAAATCTCTCCTCATAGGAGTCCACAAACACGGTGTGTGTGTGCGCGCGTGTGTGTGTGTTTACATGCGTGTGTATTTATTGTAACCGTGTCCCCGTTTCTCTTTGTGTCGCTGAAAAGGATACGAGCGATACAACGCGATGCGTGCCGATCCAGATCTGTGTTTCTTGGAACGAGTCGGGATGCCAGATGTCACCGCCCTGTCTGCTGAGCAGGGAGGGGGGGAGGGGCCTCCCGAGCTGACTGACAGGTATCTGTGATGTCACTCAAACATGTCGACAAACCTGGAGGAAGTGACTTAAGTTGTTTAAGTACTAAAACATGTCAGATTTTTAATAAAGCACAGGTTTAGAGAATAAACTTAAATCTGTTAATTTGAAGAAAAAACATTTTTTTAATGGAATTTCTTTCACTGGATTAGTATCGACTAATTAAAATAAATAAAATTAGATATGCTGGATTCAAACCAACAATTAATGAAATCACAGTGATGTTTAAAATCTCTGAGTTAGTTTCACTTTTTCTCTGGTTATTTAAGACAAAATCCTCCCGAAGTCATCAGATAAAAGGGTTAATATAACTCATATTAATCCTACAATAGATGAATGTTATCTGCTCTTGCTATTATTGGTTCATAGCTAGTGTGGATAAAACACATCCTGTTGTCGCTGATGTTTATTTTTGTTTACTCTGCCACCTTTCAGCCTTTGTTCCTCCTCCTCAAACTGAGAGCTGGTCGTGAAATTAGAGAATAGATGAAAATAAAACTCAAAAGCTGAAAGCGGCTGTGAGCGACTGGTGGTTCCTCTGCACTAAAGCAAGAGAAATTGTTCCCCCAGTCGGCTTTTTTCTACTAGTTTGACTCAACTTCAATTAAAAAGGTTTGTGAGGAAAAACAGAGACTTTACCTGTCAGAAAGAGAGAAAACACAGAGAAGGGAATGCTTGTTCTTGCTGTGTGATGAAACAATGCGTGTTTGTTCACCTGGATTCACCTGGAGGTGTTCTCAGGTAGATCTCCTATAATCTGCAGGGTTTCCCCTAAAATTTGGATAGGGAGAGAAAAAGATTAAAAGATGCACCAATCAGATGTTTCAGAGATGAAACCGTGGCAGTAGACGCATCAGACGCCCGCCGACGCTGTATCACAGCCAGTGTCTGTAGAGTGTAAGCATTAAATCATCATGTGGCTCTTTGTTTCTGGAGTCAGAGCCGTACTGAGTTATTGAGCCAGTTTCTGGTCCAGTTTGGATCTTTTTTTAACCTGTTTCAGGTAAATAGACACAAATGGTGTGACTGTAGAGAGAGGAGGGTTTAGGAGAACTCTGCGATTATACAAACAAGTGAAACTGGAAAAAATTGAACCTGGGGCAAAGTCCATTTATTTCAGTAATTCAACTAGACAGAGACAATGTAAAGGCTCAGGAACAATTTGCAGCTGTTTTCTATTAGCATTTATAAATTTTACTTGATTTGGGTCTTGTTTCATATCACACAGTGACATTTGAATAATTAAATGCTTTTTTTTTTTAGAAATTAAAAAGCTTTAGTTTACAGTAATAATAACCATGTCTAATGTTTGATTCTCTGCCTCATTATTTTTCATTTACAAAGTTTTTTGAGGGCAACTTTTACCGAATGATTAAAATTTGATTAACTAAGATTAATTCATTACAAAGCCACTAATTAATTTGATTAATTTTTTTATCAAGTCCCATCCCTAGTATTAATATTATATTAACCAACTGATACTATTTTAGTTGTCTGGTACATGATAGTAATCTGTACAATATTGTGATGTTAGCATATGAGTTTAAGCTAGCATCGTTAACTCACCTGCTGCTCCCCCGCTGCTTCTCCTCACATCACAGCACAATCTCTCTGTTGTGGCCGATGGGCTCTCCCTCTGGTTTGTCTCTGCTCTCTGGGGTGTGCAGCAAACTCATAGCTTTATGGTTTTGGTCCATCATAAATAGAATTATGAACATTTAAAGTTTCCTCTGTGTCAGAACTGTGTCCAAACATTGATTCATGGGAGTCTCTAACTTGCAGTTTGCTCTTTAATCTGAAGTTATTTTAGTTTAGTCTGTTTTTACAGGAGGATAAAGCTTGTTGATGAGGGAATTTTTGTTCGGTTTATCTTTTATTTTTCACTTTTCTGTAAATTCTGTTGGTTTAAATCAACATGAAAAACGGTTTTAAACTCTCCCATAATAAAGACGTCATTATTTTAAGTGTTTATAATTATCTGGAGATGTTAAGCAGCTCTAATCCAGGTTTCTTCTCTCGCCGAGTCCTGCTTCCTTTTACTTTAGAAACTTTATCTTGTATTTTACACTTTTCAGGAGTGGTGATAAATTTTCTCTGAATGAGCTGCTTGTTTTCTGATTCTCTGAGTTGTTCCTTTGTAAAACATCGCATTATTGTTCTGACAGCAGCAGTAAGGCGGAGGAGACGAAGGATGAGCCAGAAACCAAAGCGAACGAAGGGGAGGACCGGGACGAGAGCAGCAAGGTAACAAACCCCCTGAGACCTGACACCTGTTGGGTTTAATTCCCCTGAGATTCAGGTGTAAGCTGCTTTAGAGCTGAACAACAACCTGCTGCCTCTGGGTTCAGGAACAGACCCCAGTTAGGGTCGATCAGAACCAAAATCATGACATCTGCTTTATCTCTCCATCATGGTGGCTGAGAGAACTCAGAGCAGAGCAGGAAATAAAAGTTCCCGGTTCCAAATGACTCGGGAATGTTTGCTTCGATAACTTGAACGAGGTTTTTGGTCGGATTAAAATAAATGATTAATATTTAGTTCCTGTAAATTATATTTTTAAACCCAAGAGAAAAGAAGCTGAAAGTGTAAATGCATCAAAGGTTTTATTTACTGTTTTGTTGTTTATCACCAGGGGGAGGAAACCTGCTCCAGCACCGATACGTCTGAGAAGCCAGACAGTTCGGGTCAAGGGGAGACGGTTACCGTGGCGACAGACACAAACCAGTTCCAGCTGAGATTCAGGGAGAAGACATCAGACACAGCTGGTATCTGGATGTTTAGCTGCAAACTCGCGGGTTGGGAATATTTGTCAGAATCTGCTGGTTGGACAAAAACTTTGTTTTTAATTCCACAGACTCTCAGATGTCCGTTGACCTCAGCACCCATAATGGACCTCTGGTTACCACGACGACAACAGGAACAGGATGTGGGGTGGCATCGCTCCATGTGGTCCAGGCCCGGCCCATGTGGCCCACCGGTCCCTCCCTAACGGCCCGTTTTCGTCGTCTGATCACCGCCTACCAGCGCTTCACACTGCGCCGGGAGCCCCTTCTGAGGCACGACTTCCTGCTCCACGACAGCCTTGTCAGCATGGCCATGGCGGGGGGCGGAGCCACCCATAGCCAATATGCTGGCGGACCGCTGGCATGGCAGCTGGGTGAAGATCTGAGGAGGTGTTCGATGGTCTCCACAGAACCGGACCCCCTGTTCATGGAGTGGCAGCGGAGGTGAAGAAGCTGCAGGTTCTGTTTCTGTATGCCTGTTTGTTCCTCTGAGTTCTGACGCTCGGCCTGGTTCTGTTTAAGGTGGACTCGTCGAGAACAGGCAGACTTTTACCGCACCGTCTCTTCCTTCGGGGTCGTGTATGACCCGGAGAGGAAGGCTTTCGACTGGTCCCAGTTCAGGGCGCTGGCCCGACTGGAGAGGAAAACGGACGAGAGTTTGGAAAGATACTTCAACTCATTTGTCAACATGTGTAGGACGGCATGCAAGCTTCCTCCACGGAAGGAAGAAGGTGCGTTCAGGAATGGTTCTGGTGATTTTAGCTGGAAGCAGAACGGTTAGGGGTTTTATCTTACGTTTTCCCTTCTTCTCCTCCCTCGTTTGCTTGTTTTTAGGGTTGGTGGAACCTGCCGTGATGGTGGAGCCTCTGACTGAAGAGCGAGCAGCGAGGACGTTGTATCGCATCGAGCTTTTACGAAAGATCAGAGAACAGGTGGGTTTTCCGAGGTGGAAGCAGCTGACGTCTCAGTTTTAGATGTAACGGGCGTATAGATATTGTTTGTTACTGAATGACATCATTTACTAAGCTTTTACAAACATTCTGTAAACCATCAGGAGGACGATGCTTCAGCCGTGATGCAGTGTTCTTGATATTCTGACAGATTGACCTTTAACCTGTCATCTCTCACCAGGTTCTCCGCCACCCTCTCCTCTCGGCCCGCTTCCAGCTCTGCCGCCCCTCCCTCTACCTTCCAGTCTGGTGGGAAAGCGGGAAGCACGACCGGGACCTCCTGATTGGGGCGGCGCGTCACGGTCTGAGCCGCACAGACTTCTACATCTTGAACGACCCACAGCTCAGCTTCCTGGAGGCCCACAGGAACTACGTCAGACGCCATCCCGCTCATCTTCATCCTCCGAGTCATCATCACCCCCACCATGCGGGCTTAGCAACCCATCCTGGAATTTCCTCCTCATCCTCGTCGTCCCACATGCAGCTACCTCATCCTCACTGCTGTCTGTATGATTCAGGACTCGGACGTCACTCCCCGCAGCCTCCTGAGTATCATCATCATCATCATCATCATCATCATCATCATCATCACCCAGACAACCAGGCTGCTCCCTCTCCCCCATCCTCCTCCTCTTCCCACCCCCACCTCCACCCTCCTCCACTGGATGCCCATGACTCCTCCTCCCCCAGTCTGGGTTTGGTTCCCGGGTCGCGTGTGGATTTCCTGGACTGCGCTCCTCTGGATGAAAGCCTGGAGCTCGGTTCTCTGCAGCACGACGCCATGTCAGCTGATGCTCTGCACATCGGAAAGACGACAAAAGACGCTCTGAATGGTTTCCCGTTCAACTCTGCGGCCGGAGGTCAAAGCATGCTGAACTCGTACGGAGTGGGCGGGGCCGACCTGGACTCCAAATTGAGGAGTGACGTTCTTGTTGGTGAGCAGGGGTCATCCGAGGAAACCGGGCTGATGGCGCCGTTGGTGGAGCTGGACCAGTTACAGGTAGGACCCTCATTTCTGTTAAAGTAAATGTAAAGTACGGACCAGTGAGACGAAACCTTCAAATGGTAAAAAACTGAGGAGCAGACGCAAAATAACATAAAATCTTATGATGGATCCGTTTATGTTTTTTATCTCATCTATTTTAACTTTCCAGCCAACTCTTTCCTGATCTCGGGAATTTTCTAGATTTTCCCGTGAGCTTTGATGTATCAGATAAGGAAGAGAAAACGGAATCTCCTAAAATTTTACTGTTGGCTGCTAAAGTTTTTATTTGTTTAAGTTTATTTATTAATGGAATTAGTTTATAAACTGATCTAAATAAGCTCACTCATTTCCTGTTTGTGAATGCACCGTTTGCCAAGCAGCAATAAAAAAATCCCACTTTTTCCGGTCAATGAACTAACCATCACTAAACTAGCTGTAGCACACCTTCCAGGTGGATGTTTTTACAAGTTAATCAGAAACGGCTGAAATAGTTTCTGTTCATTAAAGTCGTTTTAGAGATTTGCCGTCGACTCGGCAGATCAGAGCCATACGTTCACCAACCGGCTGCGTGTTTTTAATGCTGGACCTGGTTCCTGCAGACTCCTTGGGACAGCACAGATCACACCAGTCCAGCTGATCACATGTTCAACGAATCCGATCCAATTCTGGGCCCCTCTGCTCTGGAGGCGAGCTTCCTGGAGGAGGAGGATGAGGAGGCTCAGGGAGGAGACAGAGCAGGGCAGGAAGGAGGGACTCTGGAGGAGTGTTTGGGCCTCCCACCTTCGTCCCCTCCCACTCATCCTTCAACAGGGGATTCTGTGGAGCCGCTGTCATCCAGTTACATGCTGTTTAAGGTTGGTTCTGGTCGACCCGCTCCGTCATGACTACATTTTAAACTCACAACACAGATATTATGTCGCTCTGATGTTTTGGTTTTCCTGATTCAGGACATCGGAGTAAATGAGGAGGCCAGCGCGGATCAAACGGACCTGTCAGCCAGCCCGCCTCTCCCCTACATCCCCCCTCCCCCGCTTGCACTGTCTGACCTCACCCCCAACGAGCCGCAGGACGAGCTTGGTCACTCTGATGTGTCTGACAGTCTCACCAACCCCATGGAGGATGGGGAGGAGCCGGAAGGGAGCGCTGGCTTTGAGTTTGAGAAGGAGGAAGAGGAGATGGAGGACCTGTTGCAGGAGAGTGAGGAGCAGCATGCAGAAGAACAGAACTTACAGCAAGGTACATCGGTGCTCAGATGTCGGGAAGCTTTGCTTTGATTAGAGCTCAAACCCTTCATCACAAAAACAAACACAGCCTTCATGTTCATACTATTATGAGAAAAACTGAGGTTTTACTTTTAAAACTTAAGGTGTGGAGCTCAGAAACCATTTCTAATGATTATTTTTTATCATAATCAGTCACTCTTGAGTGTTTCATGCAGGCTGAACATGAAAATAGTCTCCTACGCCTATCTCTTCCATTAGCTTCTGATAGAAAACAGACGGTGAAACTCTAGGATCAGAAAATCCTGACAGATCTACATCACACTGTCACTTAACATTCATGGACTCACCCATCTTAACTCACGATGGTGAAGGCTGTTGGTTTAGCGTTCAGGACACATCAGAGAACGTCTTGGCTAGAAGAAGCTAACTGTTAGCATTAGCAGCTCCACCACACAGCAGAACTCCTCCAGGCTTGTGTTATTTGTGGAGATAAAACAACGATCCAGTGCAAACAGTCAGTGGTAGAGTCGTGTTGCTGTTAGCCAATCAGAGGTGAGATGTCCAGATATCAGGAAATAAGACTCCAGATCCTGTCTTCTGAAGCTCAACTGTAATGTGGGTCACTGCAAGTTCCTGGGAATGGTGTACCGGTATATTTCTTCCCCAGAGGACGACTTACAAGGCCACTGCAAATGTTTTGATTAAACAAGTGAACGACCCCTTTAAGCCAGATTAAAATCAGCTAAAGCCATCCCAATATTTCATATCATCTAGTTCGCTTGGAGGTGTGTATGAATAAAGTTTATTAAACGTTTACATTTAATCTAAAACAGATTTAATTAGATCTTTTGCCTCAGAAACCCAACTCCTTAGGAGGGGTTAGACTCTGCTCCATTAGTTCCTCCAGGTGAGAGAAGATGGACCAGGCAGGGCTCTGTGTCCACCTGGGGAAAACCCCACAGGGTAGTTTCCCGGTGGGCCGTGTGCTGGATGGTTCTACAGACTGGGACTCCAGAGTCCTGCAGGGGGACTTCAGAACCGAGGTGGACAATGAGAGTGTGATCTGAGAGGAGCAATCTGAACCCAAGTGCTGCTCTGTTCGAGCTCATAGTGATGCTTGTGAGTGCTCGTGGTACCAGGGCAGCTTGCAGGTTAATGATTTTTCTTCAGTTTCAGATCTTTTAGGACTTTTGAAATATTTTTAATGAAACTTTATTCAACTCTCTCTATACTCCGTGCTTTCAAAGACCATGAATATTCAAAGAGTCTTTTTCAGACGTTTTTTTGGTAAAGTCACACATATCATAAAATACAGCCTAGTGCTCCTTGTGGAGTTATGCTTTTATTTTGGCGAGCTGTACTACAGCAGCCTTGATGTGTTTTCAGCTGTAGAGGAGAAATACATGTTATCACCCCTTGGTTTTGTTTCTAGGAGCAGATCCACCTTTGGGAGTTCTGAATCCAACTTTTGAAGAACTGCGGATGGAAGATGGAGACCCAGAACTTGACCCGGATGAGAGGAAGAACCTCCAGGAGAACTTTGAGTGTGTGAAGAATGGTGAGGGTTCACCAGAAGAGGGTCATCCTAATGCTGGGAAGTTGGAACCAGAGGGGAGTTTGGTGTGTCCAGAGACTTCTGAGGGCCCACCGGAGGAGGCTGATGGGATGATGTTGTTTCGGACCGAAGAGGAACCGGCTGCAGACGATCCTCTGGATCCTGAAGTGTTCATGCAGACTGAAAAGGACACGTCTGTACAAATGAAGACAAGTCCACAAACCCCTGGAGAGACAGCTGCGATGGACGGCCTAGAACCTGCAGGCCAGGTCCACCTGGTCTCTGAAGGCTGCATGGACCACGACTCTCTAAATGACGGTCCAGTAGAACCAGCTGGTGAGGAAAAGCCCATAAGAACCCATCTGTCCCTTTATTCTGGATTTATACAGTCTTCCTGCTCCACCAGAGAGGGGGATGCCACCAGGTCCATGGTTCTGATGGACCAGAACCAGAACCCGTTAGTCAGCAGTGACTGTAAGAGCAGAGTTCTGTCCATCTCTCCTGATCTCAGCGGCAGAAACGACCTGCTCGACCCGAACGATACCAAACCAGATTCTGACACAAAGCCGTCGGATCTGACGTTTTTTGTTCAGAGCCACAGCTGTGAAAACAAACCAGAACCGCTGCTGGTACCAGTTAAAGTAGAAGAACCCAAACCAGAACCTTCTGAGGATGTCTGCCCCAACGGCTCTGAATTCAAACATTCTTATTTCCTGGCTTACGCTGGTAAACCTGAAGAGTTACAGACTAAATCTGAGCAGTTTGACTCCACGGAGGTGAAACCCGAAGACCTCAGCCTCCTTGTGAAGTCCGAGGACCTCAGCGCCAAACCCGAAACGCTCCAGTTAGTAGCTTATTCTGATGCCGCCGAGGACAAGCCTGACGTCAAACCCACTGATCTGAGCTTCAATTCCTGTCCGTTTGAGTTTAAGAGCGAGACGAAGCCTGAAGCCTTGAAGTTACCTTCGTTTCCTGATGTCATCAAGCTGGAAGCCAAACCCGAGGTTCTGGGGTTTGGGACCGACCCGGACAGCTCCGAGACCAAACCGGAGGGTCTGGAGCTTTCAGCGCTACCTGAACTCAAGGCTGAGATGAAGCAGGAGCTGCTGGAGGCAGACAGCACGGTCCTGACCCCGAAACTGGAGCAGGCGGACAGGCTGGTGGACTCGTCGGGGGGGCTTGGGGTGAAAGGTCAAATAAAGGAGGAGAAGCCAAGCACGCCAGGTACGAACGCTCAGAGACTGTGTGCCCTCTCGTCAGATACAGAAAGGTGACGCTTTGTTTTGCCTCTGTAGTTCCCGTGGTGGAAGGGCACGCCGGCGGTCCCAGGTTCGCCGCTCCTGTTCCCATGTGTGAGATTCCCGACAGCCTGCACGAATCCAGAGAGCCGACCATCGCCCAGCTGCTGCAGGAAAAAGCACTTTTCTCCTTCTCAGAGTGGCCCAAGGTACCAGAACTGTTGCTTTCGAAGTTTGTTAAAGGGATAGTTCAGTTTTAGTTAAATATGAATTCACCGGTTGGATCCCTGAAAGGACTCTTACATGGAATTCTTTGGTTTAGCAGCGGCTAATTGTAGCTCCTCCCGCAGGGAGTTCTTCATATTCCTGCAGGAGCCGTTAGCTCATCAGTCCTTTAAGATGTCTGAAATATCCCTTTAAGGCGTCTCTGCCTGCGTAAGACCCATGAACTTTTTGTTCTCCATCTTCAGGACAGGGTCATCATCAACCGCCTAGACAGCATCTGCCACGCCATCCTGAAGGGGAAGTGGCCGTCGTCCAGCGAGCAGTACGACTCGCCCGCCTCCCTGGCCTCTAACTCGTGTTTGTCCAACAGCCTGGTCCAGCACCGGCCGGGTTTCCTCACAACGGCGGCCTCCGGATGTGTCCCGAGTCAGCCGCGGGTGCAGCAGAGCGCTTCGGGACACGTGTTCCCTGTCCCTCCACCTCTCACACGACTCCCTAAGGTGAGAGCCTCGAAATGATTGGAGCGCTCAGCATCAGATCACCTGTCTGCATTTCCTTGTCCTTCATAACTTGTCCACACAAGTGGTGTCCAGTTCCCCCCAGACCTAACCCCTTACATTTCCAGGTTTAATGAATGCAATGGGGTTTTGTCCCATGGGTGGATTGCTAAGGGGTTAATGAAAGCAGAATTTTTTTGTTGATAAGTTTAGTTGTTACCATAGAAACGGACGTCAAAAGCATCAGTTCCAGCACAAAAGTCCACGGTACAAGTCTGAGTAAAGACGAATGATTTGGGCCTGCTTTAGTCTGAATCCAGTTCCTCCTGCTGCTCTGGACACCACTTTCTCCTCTTGTTCACACTGTTGCCTTTATGTAAAGTTGATCGTCTCTGTTGTTCTGCTGATATTATAAATGTGGATGTCAGACCTGGGCGCACAGGGGAAGGCTTTAAAAACACGTGAGCTGTTTTTACAGAACCGTTAAAAACGACCATTTAAAAAATAGAATTCAACTGGACACTTTTACATGTTTGTAGAGATTTTAGGACCAAAATAACTGTTTCTGGTTATTGTGAAAATGTGTTTCTGTGTAAAACTTACAAAATAATTATTATTAATCCCATTTAGATTATTGTCAAACCATTTCTGTCCTCTGGATGATGGATCAGCAGGCTGCCTTATCCAAGTCTACTGCCCCCTAGTGGAGGATTTACTGGTGGCAACCACGGACAGTTGTATTTATTTATTTCTGTTACAAAATGACATAATGAAAAAAAACCAATGGACATAGTTGTCATATTAGCATCAGACAATAGATTGTTTTGAAAACAACATTAATATTTGAACCTAATGAAGAGTTTATTATTTTATCAGTGGAAATTTAGCAATTTTTTGTTTATTACAATGATTTAATAGGGTTTTTATTGTTATTACTTCAAAGTGAAAAACTTTATATTTAAACGTTCTGTCTCTTTATTTTCTAGTAAGTTTAGTTTTTATACAACACCTAATGATTCCCAAGTCTCTGTTTCTCTAAACGAGGCTGTTCAGGATGAGTAGGACCAGAATAATTCACGAGTTTTGCACAGAAACGGCGAAGTCAGGTGGTGTTACTGGTTTAGGAACTGGAGGGTGCTGCTGGGTGGACTGGGATTGGTGCCCAGGTCTGGATCTGCTGCTGCTGCCTCTGTGTTGTGTCTCATATGTGTTTAACCAAAGCCATCATCTCTCTCCCGTCCTTGTCTACCCTCGCCCACCCTGTCCACCCTGACAGTACGTGCCGCGGGGCGGCGCTTGCGGGCGCGGAGCTTGGCGCCTCACCTCCTTGCCTCTCTTACAGGAGAGACTTGTGGCTCCTCCCTTCCTTCCTGAGCTCAAACGAGCAGGGGGTCGCAGGTCATTCGACTATGAAGCAGTTGCCGCGGCGGCCGCCAAGATTTTAGCTGGAAAGTCGTCATCACCGAGCCACACCTCCACAGCCAGCTCCAGCGGTGAGAAGGCGCCAGTGGTGGCTCCGCCCTCTCACCGACATGGAGCCATGTTGTTAAATGGCTGGCAGGAAGCAGCCATAGATCTGACCAAGTCTTCAGGGGAAATCAGCACCACGAGCAGCGCGGGGGCAGGCGAAGCAGCAGGGGGCAGTCACAAGCTGCCGCCGCTGCCCCCCATCACTGCCCCGCTGCCTGGCCCCGTGGGGATTGACATGTCTGGGATCCTGCAGGCGGGGCTTATCCACCCCGTCACGGGGCAGATAGTCAACGGGAGCCTGAGGGGAGATGACTCCCTGAGAAGGAGGAGGGGCAGGAGGAGAAATGTGGAAGCTCTGTACTCTGAGTTCGCCAAGAGCCGAGGACTGCACCTGCCCGAGACTCAGGTGGGTAGAAGGAGGCGGGGCCTGTCAGTGTCAGAGCAGGTAGAATCATTTCACTGTGAAAGGAAAGGAAAACCTCAGTTAGGTAATCCCGAGGGGTCAAAGTTCAACTAAAAGAGCCTGGACTGTTTGTTTCTTAAGCTGCTATGTGTGTGTGTGTCTCCACCTTCAGGGTCGTGTGGAGGCTATCAGCCACTCCTCCGTCTCCTCCTCCACCTCCTCTCCGTCTCCATCTCCATCAGAACGACCCACGGGTCCTCCAACGCCCTCTTCTTCTACTCCCACGCCCACGCAGAGTTCTCCTCAGCCGGAGATCGTGGCCGTGGACCGAGAAGCTGCCAGCAAAGGTCTGATCGAGTGGCTGAGACAGAACCCGGGCTACAGCATGGACCTGCCCGCCTTCGCTCACGTACGTCACGCCGACGCCTGCTTAGCCGTAACCCTCAGCTCACTCCTGGTGGTGGTTTGATTCCTCTTCCTGTTCTGCTATCCTGACCCGACGTCCCGTTAAAACGGTTAAAAGTAGGAATGCATTGATCATGTGTTTTCATGAAATCGGTGTGGGTGGGAAAACTTGGAATAAACCATGTAAACAACAAGCATTGTGCTAGTGGGCTGCATGGTGGAGCAGTTGGAAGCTTTGAAGCAAGAAGGTTGCTGGTTAGAATCCTAGCTGCAGCCCTTGTATGTGGAGTTGGCATGTTCTCCCCATGCAAGTGTTGGTTAGGGTGGTTGTCCCAAGGTGTGACTTCAGGTGCTTTTATAAGACGCACCATGCCAGCGTAATATTGCCGCAGTGGTATGTCTATAAATGCGCCATGCCGGCATGGCGTTGCGTGAATATTGCGTCATTCGTTCCGCCTCGCTTGGTAGTAATATTGCGGTAATGGTCTGTCGTATGCGCCCTGGTGCAACAGAGGCAGATGTCATGATGACGTGGGCAGTTATTGCTGAGCTCCGGCTGGCAAATTTATTGAAAATGAAAGTAAACACAGGCAATAAGGTTTGCTTTTTGAACAAAATCAGCTGACATGGCAAACTGGAGCGCCGCAGCGCTCCACGAGCCTCTCTGTTAGAGCTGAAGCTCAGATCACCAGAGACTGCACAGGGACTGGTGGGGACAGACACCTTTAGCAGCTGCTTGTTAAAAAAAACGTAACGATCATGGCTTCACTCGCAATAAAAAGCAAGTTATGTCCAAGATAAACGCAAGTCTGCTGCAGCGCAGAGACCGCCCCCATACCACCTTTATGCTGCCATCACCTAATCTTTTATAAAATTGCCATGATTGTGCCACATTACCGCCATGGTCTGATCTTATAAAGAACTTTTTTCCTCCCCAGGGAGCCGCAGCAAATCCCGTTTTGCAAACGCTATGGTCCTGTAAAAACAGCTAGTGTGTGTGTTCCTGTTGTGGACTGGAAACCTGTCCAGGGTGTCTCACCTCTGGCCTGATAGTGGATGGATGGTTTTTTGTTTCTAACACTAGAGGGACTCTGGGGATGATGGAGTCATTTCCTCCATTAAATCAGAATTTTTGGTCAGACCTCTGTTGTCTGATGCACAGCGAGCTGTGGGTCGTCTCAGGGCTGTAGCGAAGACGAGGTGATGCTGGTTTCATTTGAATAAATGGTCTGTTGTTCTCCTCCTGCAGTCTGGAGCCAGCCTGTTGCATGGCTTTGTGGAGCGTCCCAAACAGAGGAGGCATCGCTGCAAAGACCCCACCAAGCTGGACGTCAACTCTCTGACGGGGGAGGAGCGGGTCCCCGTGGTGCACCGGGGGACAGGACGCAGGGTGGGGAGCACGCACGCACGCACACACACACACACACACGCTAAATGATTTCAGCACTAACATGAAGTGTTCCTGTTTCCTGTTGAGTTAATTCCGTTCGTGTTCCTCGGCAGCTCGGCGGCGCCATGGCTCCCGCTATAAAGGAACTCTCCAGATGGCTGGACGCTAACTCGGAGTACTTTGTGGCTCCAGACTGGGCTGAAGTGGTCAAACACTCTGTGAGTAGAAATCCACACATCAGAAAAGTCTGAAACTTTATGGATTTGACCTTTGACCTGTTCTCCTGCAGGGTTTCCTCCCTGAGGGAAAGTTTTCCCGGATCCTGACAGAGCCGGTCAACAGAGACCCGGGTTCTCGGCGGCGCGGGCGGCGGCCTCGCAGTGAGATGCCAAAGCCCCTCCTCTCTGTTTCTGACTCCGCCTCCTCTAGCCTGGGCCCCCCCCTGTACATGAACGGCGGTATTATCGGCAGCATGGACTCCATAGTAGCCTTGCAGAACCTTCGTGGTGGCATTCCTGGGATTCCCATCTCTGGGATCATGGCGGCTGGATTCCCACACGGTTTTCCTGCTGCTGTTCCAGCGGGAAGCGCCGGATCATCAGCTGAAGACGCTAAGAACGGTTTGAGCATGTTACCCATGATGCTGCACGGCATCCCGCACCCACACGGCGCCGCCATCCCTCAACACGCCCTGTTCAGCGTCGGCACAATGATGGCGCACGTCCCCACTCCTCCTCACCCAAACTCCTCCTCCGCCTCGCCTTCGTCCTCAGCCTCTCCTCCAGCTTCAGCTGCAAATGTTACCACGACAACGGCGCCATCTGAGGCCGCCAGCCCTTCCTCCACCACCGCGGACAGAGAGAACACCTCCTCCTTCACGACAGGAGGGGAGAAAGAGAAGGAGGGCACCAAGCGACCAGCAGAGGCGGCCATCATCACCTCCACCAGCCGCGCCCACCTGAGCCCAGCTCACCTGGGAGCCGCCAGCGGCCATCACACTTTCAACCCGTTCCTGATCCCAGGAATGTCGCACGGCCTGCTGTACCCGCACATGTTCCTGCCTCACGGCAGCATCATGACACTGCCCGCTTTGCCTCCAGGCGCCGCCGATGGCTCACCTGGAAGTCCGAAGAGAAGGAGAAAGAGAGCGCGGGAGGAAGAGGAGCGGGAGAAGACAGCAGCAGGAGACGCAAAGGAAAGTACAGCTCCTGCCTCCTCTTCCTCCTCCTCTTCAGTCCCCTCTACCTCAGCTTCAGATTCCGGCCCGCCTCCGACTGAGGAGACTGAATCCGGGCCGGGAAATTTAGAGGATGGGCATTCAGAGCCCCAGGAACCAGACTCCAACACCCAGAGCAACGGAGCCACAGCTGAGAAGGATGGGGCGGTGGAGACTGGAGGAGAGGTGGAGCAGGAGGAGCAGAGACCGGAGGTTCAGGAGGAGGCGTAGAGGAGAGGAACCTTCAGAGAAGCTCCTCCTGCTCCCTTGTCTCAGCCGTGTAAAGTTTGTGCCGTCTGTCTGACCCTGTAAAGACTTTTAATATGGCGATTAAATTCAACATGTTTATAACCCAACATCTTCTCCACTCCGCTGCAAACAACAACAAACAACTAGTGGTAAACAAAGTCTGTAATCTTCCTGTCATTCTACATCGGACTGGATCAGGAGCGGCTCGTCTCGACCGGAAAGCGCAGGAGGGAACCGGGAACCCCAGCCTGGAGCATCACAGACAAAAACCCAGATTCCTGCTCCATTTTTAGAGGTGACTTCCTGATTTTCTCCCCACGGTTTGGGAACGGAGGAAGGGGTTTATGTTCTTACACACTCCACGATTTTCCTTTACAGATTCTACCAGTGCAATATTAAAAAGATTACTCCAAACTAACTTCATTTGGAAGAACAACCAGTGCTCCAAGAGGGCTTAGGGTTAACGTGACACTAAAGCCCAGAGCTGGTGCTGCCGAGAATCCCTCCATCCTATCATGTAGCTCATTAAAACGTGCAGCTGAATCAGATTTTAACTAATTACCCTTTGAGTTTTTATATCTCCTGATTCATGACGTTATCTAGAGGTTAGAAGCTGGTGACATCAGAACTGATGGCTGACGCCCTCGTTACTGTTAGTCAGATTCATCACAGCTAATGACGTTTGTTTCTGCAGTAGCTTCCTTTGAAAAGCTAAATAATGTGTTTAATATGCCCAAATAAAGGGTAAAATTAGGGTTTTGTAGTTAAAATCAGTCACACTGTCACTTTTAAGAGGTCTTCTAGTGGTTCAGTCCAATCAGAGGACGTTTAGTCCGGCCACCAGGGGGCAGTAGGAGATCGGAGTCCTGTCCTGCAGAAGAGGATTGTAGGAGCTCAAGGTGCATTCCTGTGGAAGCTCATGTCTGCCGCCTAAAGGGAAACTCGTCACACATTTAGTCTGATTTATTACTTTAAAGTCTCCTTGCTCGTTATGATGTTAAACAAAGACCTGACATTTAAATTAAACTAGCAGCTCTGGGCTGCCCGAGGATGTGCCTGACTTTAAATGGGCTTTACTAAGGAGGAATATTGGGCCAATAAAATTACCCTTACTGTAAAAGACACAATTATGATATTACATCTCATTATTGTTGGGATGCCGTGTGACAGGAAAAGCTTCCAGACATTCCAAACAATCACGGATAAATCAGAGAAACATCCGCGGGAAAAGTGCAAAACGACCGTAGTTTGGGGTCAAGTCTTGAGCTGTAGCCAGAGTTGTGTTCAGATGAGATTGTTTGTTTTCACAAACCAACGAAGAGAGACGTGAGCTTGTTTTCCTCTCCCAGCGGTTCACTCTACATATGTAAATCTGTGGCTGTACATTGCTGTTTTTTTAAAGGCTCTGTGTATTTCTGTTTCCATCGGGGTGGGGCGGGCGGGTGTACAGTAACAGGAGGTAACAGTGGCTGATTTAACTCAATCCAACAGGGTGTGTATTCTGAAGAAATGTTTCAGTTCTTTTGGTTTTCAGACATGGAAACATTATTTTTGCACAGTGTCTTGTTGTGAGTCTGTGTGATTTCCATTACAGTGTATGTGTGTGTGTGTGTATGTGAGAGAGAGAGAGAGTGTGTGACGTTGGGAGGATGTTTGTTTGTGTGCATGCATGGGCACACGCTCCATGTCTTGTCCCGACAGGCCACGTTTCTTTACAGTGAGAAGAAAAAACAGTCCATAGTTGTTGCCTTGTCACAGCTCTGTGGCTCCATAGAACTTCTTTACTTTTTTGCCAAATTTCCACCAAATAAGACATGTGTTTCCTTTTATTTCATCTGTTATTCAAAGTGAAATGCCTTATTTTTAGCGATTATATTTGGTCAAGCTGGTCTGTTACAGGTCCTGTTTTTGTGTGTGTGTGTGTGTGTGTGTGTGTGTGTGTGTGTGTGTGTGTGTGTGTGTGTGTGTGTGTGTGTGTGTGTGTGTGTGTGTGTGTGTGTGTGTGTGTGTGTGTGTGTGTGTGTGTGTGTGTGTGTGTGTGTGTGTGTGTGTGTGTGTGTGTGTGTGTGTGGTGACAGAAGGTACCGCTGTCCAGATCACTACATTTACCCCTAAAAGTCAATCAGTCATCCCTTAAAGCACAAACGTTTGCTTCTCTGTGCCTCTAAACTTACTTTAAATCCTCTTTTCTTAGCTTCACTTGAACACTACATTCCGTTTCCATGGCGATGCTTCATCTTTTAGTGACGCTTCTGTGGTTTAAAGATAATCCTGAGGTTTTTTTTAAACAGTCTGCATCTCATTCTAGGAACTCTACCAACATATTAGCTTATATTGTTTTTTATGGACAGTTATTCAAATTTCAAGCTCAAATGTTTGCAGCATTTTGAAGACAAAATGGTAAGAAAATCGGCGCTTTCTCAGTTTGAGTCACCTTGGACCGGTACGTACGACACTTTGGTGAGATGTTAGCTGGTCAGCCTGATGTAGCTACAAATAAAAAGGGCTACATTTCTCGTTACATTTCAGTCAAAAAGTGTAGTCTTATTTTGTTCCTGATCTGGTCTCCAACTCTTCCCAAATTTTTCTCACATTTCTCACACAAAGGCTCACAGAGAGTTCACAGACGGGTCCATTCGAGTCTGAATGTTAAGAAGAAATTCTGTCTCGCTGTAATTTAAAAAAGATCGCTTGGGTTCCAGTGCTCTAGCAGAGACGTCCTGGGACGGGTGGGAGTGAGATAATGAGGCCTCGAGAACATTTCGAGACGTTTGTAAGCTCATTTGAGATTGTTGTTTATAATTAGTCACCAACAGTCTCAGTAGAGGTTCTGTTGGTGTTAGTATGGTTCTGTGGAGCGGTTCTGATCCGTTCTACAGATGCAGCCAATTAGAATCAACCAAAATTCAGCACCAGATCAGTTCTGATTTATTTAGTTTTTGGGGTTCGTGCACCTGATGTTAACAAGACTCAAAGAAATCTGACTATTTTCCGAGCTCGTGAACTCACCATTGCTATGCGCTAATTCATGTTAGCTATGAAAGGTTTGTACTTATCTAATTAACCCTTTGATGCATGAATTATGAAATCTTCAACCATGATTTTTTAAACACATTTTTTCATTCATCTTTAGGTGTGAATGAAACAAATTTCATATTTACATATTTTTTGTAACATTTAATTTACACATAGTTTATTACATGTCCACCTCAGTGGACAGCGTGCATTCTGAACATGAAATATGTCGGCTTGACTTACTGAAGTCCAAATGGAGGGGCTCAAATGCAATAAAGTCTTCAACAGCTGTGCTTAGCAGCAAACATAAATAAATAACAATTTTGAGTACCTGTCCACTGTCGTGACCATTATGCATCAAAGGGTTAAGCAGAAATTGTTAAATTAGTATAAGATAAATCGGCATCAACCCTCGAAACCAGAATTGGTGCTTCTCTAGTCTGTGCTTTAGCTTCAGCTGGAAATGTGATCGACCAATCAGAGCAGAGCAAGAAATTTAAACCAACTTAGTTTCCAAACAGCTGAAGCTAATATTAACAGGTTTTCAGCAGGTGAGATCAGAACCACCTGAGCCAGACCAAACTGGCTTTTTAACAGAATAAAACACTGGGTTTTAAACAGAACACGAGGTTCCTGTTATTTAACAGCAGAACACAAATAAAACAAAGTTAATAACCTTTGGTTAGATCTCACTTTTCAAAATAAAAGCATATAAGATGTTCCAGGTGTGGATGCAGGCTGAGAAATCTTGGGAGTTCTCTTCACAGGTTGTCGGTTGAATTCCTAGCTTGAGGCCTTCTGTAACACACAGTTCTGTTTGAATCTGGGATTATTAAGATTCTGGAAATTTGCTTTCACCCACAACTAAATCAATGGACACTTTTAAAATGGAGGATGTGGATACGCATCACTTCCTGTCACCTGTTCTCGTGCGAAACTTGAAACAACTCAATAGGTGAGCCACACCTGCAGGTTGGTCACCTCGCTTTAACAGTGTTTATTATTATTATTATTATTATTATTATTATTATTATTATTATTTTAGGGTAAATGTTCTCCAGAACCTGGACTCTGACCAGAACCGATGTATTTATTGTACAGTTCTTGTCTTTGCATTGTTGTCTCACGACTGAATAATGGCTGTTTTTGTTACAATGGAACGTCTTCTGAAATATAAAAGCATTTTGGTTCACATGGAAATTAAACCAGCTGCATTTATTTGTTGCCTTCATCACCTCGGTATCCGAGTCTGTTTTTAAACTGTTGAGTGAAATAATTTTTGTTTGGGCAGCTCCATCAATGAATTATTTAAGATTATTAATCAGTTTTTACTCAGGAAGAGTAAAGTAACTTTTACTTTACTTAATTTACTTAATAAGATCAAAATATGTTGTGTTCTTTGATCTTTTGCCCTGATTTGTTTAAGAAAATCCACAATATAAGCTGCTTCAACCTTTGATGAGTTGGAGAAACCTGGTTTGTTTTTTGCACCTTTGAAATAAAAAATAAAATCTATTCTGGGGTCGCAGAATCATAAAACTATTAGAAAACAATAAAAATAAAACTCAAAAGAAAATGAACCGTCCAATGCTAACTGTAGTTGAGTTCCAGTAGCGTGTCCAGGTCTTTTAAAATGGGGTGGCACCTGTTTTTTTTAATTTTATTTATTTATTATTATTTTTTTTGCATTAGTGAATTTTTGAGTTCAATCAATCAATCAGGTTTTATTTATAAAGCACTTTTCAAGCAAAGTGCTTTATAAAATGACCCCAAATTCCCATAGCAGCTTAAAAACATTAACAGACATATGCAAACACACACACACATCAGTAAAATTTATATTTGGCTGAGTCCAGATGAGCCAAGTAAGGTAAGGAAACACCATCAGAGGAGCCGTCTGCCCCGGCAGCATCAGGTCTTCCACACTAAGTCAGGGCGCTCAGAGGAGGGGGAGCATAGACCCCCACCTTCACTTAAACACTACCGGTAGAGCGCCCAGGAAGCTACAGTCGACCACCGCTTCCAGGGCAGAGGGCCCCTACAGAGAAAACACTGGATTAAAATGAGTAAAAACTATGAAAATATAAGGGCTAATATAAATGACAAAAGTAAGAAGATAAGTAATACCGGTAAATAAAATCATATAGACAGTAAAATAATATTAGATAATGAAACAATGCTAAAATATAATTATACAAAACATGCAAAGCAAGCAATAAAATATAGTCATGTAAAACGAGAAACAAAACTAGTAAATAAGTACCGTAGATAAAAGCTAACCTAAATAGATAGGTCTTGAGCCTGGACTTAAAAACATGAACAGTTCAATCCATGAGTTCCATGTTGTGTAAATTTTTCCTCTCTTTCTTTTTCTTTTCCTTCTTTGAACTGTTTTGTGGTGTTTAGTCACTTCTTGGTGCATTACTGACACCAACTGGACTTGGACCAGAACTCAAGTACTAATTATGTCAATATGAAAAAAACATAATAATCGTAAAGATAGAGAAATGCTGTGTTTACCAGGGCTAGAAAACAAAAGTTAAAGGTGCCACCTACTGTTTTGGGCTTTACAAGCAATATAAACTCAGTGGGGTGGCCAATCAGATTCCAAGGGTGGCATGTGCTACCCAAGGCCACTCCCTGACCATGCCCCTGATCAGTTCTGCCCCTCCCACATTGATATCCAAATATTTAATCAGACCTGTAAAACAAAGAATCAAACATAATCACCTTGTTTGACAAAAGCTTTATTTGAACCATCTGTAAAAGTGTCAACATGCATAAGGAAATGGCGTTTTTCCTTCTGCTGCAACACAAAAACATCACAAACCAGGTTTTAACAAACAGAAATTACAACCATCAGCTGATTTGAGTTTTGTTTTAATATAAACATTTTCTGAGAGGAACAAAAATCTGGTTTTGTCTCAAAATCGGATAAATATTAAACTGAAAAACTTAAAATTTTCAGTCATTTTTTGTGCAACATCAGAATTCAGATCAGATGAAAACAATTTAGAATTGCTTCTTTATTATATATATATTTTTTGTACTCTGGAGAAAAGAAACCAGAGAGTCAGAAACTGAATGAGCAGAAAAACCTCAACCATAAACAGTTGGTGTGACTACAGAGCAGAACTAGTTCCTGTTTAGACTGAATGAGTGAAAAGTGAATTGTTGATTTAAATATTGCTAAACGTTTCTGTTCTGCTGCAGCTTCTGATGAAGAACCTTCTCTATGGTACCAGAACCACCCTCAGGGTTCTCTGTGTGAGTCTGTGGTTGAGTTGGAGGAGCTGCTGATGGCGAGCTGCCGTAGTCGTTTCTTCTCTTTCTTCCTTCCAAGTCCTTTTTTATTCCGTCTCTTTTCTGATGAACAAAAACAGAGAAAGGAAATTTAAAATCCAGAAGAGTTCCAAACGTAGGATTTTCACTCAAAATTTTTAAGATCAAACAGTTTTTTATTTTATTTTACTTTTGCTATTAGTTGAAATAAAGTTGTGCTGCTTTAGCCCAACATTTAAAGTGGAACCAGAGAATCGCCTCAGCTGCGATGACAAAGTGACCCAAACATGAAAAACATAAACCCTCAAACCCAGAGCCTGTAGACCCTTCAATTCCTCAGTGCTAAACAAACATGCACACGTTCTCAGTGGCCTAGTGGTAGAGCGTCCTCCCTGGGACAGAGACCGGGGTTCAAATCCCGGCTGGGTCATACCAAAGACTTTACTCAGCTTTAAGGGGTTGGAATAGGGGGTTAAACCACCAGAGATTCTGAGCGCCGCTGCAGCTCACCGTTCCCCACGGGGATGGGTCACATGCAGAGATTAATTTCATCAGTGTGTGATGATGATGATGATGATGATGATATATATATATATATATATATATATATATATATATATAATTCTTCTCCTTAATCAACTAATCCCATAGCAGTTGCTTCAATGCATTTAGGGGTGTGGTCCTTGCCAAGACAATCTCCTGAACTCCAAACTGAATGTCAGAATAGGAAAGAAAGGTGATTTAAGCTATTTTCAGTGTGACATGGTTGTTGGTGCCAGACGGGCCAGTCTGAGTATTTCACAATCTGCTCAGTTACTGGGATCTTCCCCAACAAACATTTTTAGGGTTTACAAAGAGTGGTGTGAAAAGGGAAAAACATCCTGTGGGCGAAAAGGCTTTGTTAATGCTAGAGGTCAGAGAAGAATGGACCGACCGATTCAAGCTGATAGAAGAGCAACTTTGGAATAATCACTCGTTACAACCGAGGAATGCAGCAAAGCATTTGTGAAGCCACAACACGCACAACCTTGAGGCAGATGGGCTACAACAGCAGAAGACCACACCGGGTACCACTCATCTCCACTACAAATAGGAAAAAGAGGCTACAATTTGCACAAGTTCACCAAAATTGGACTGTTGAAGACTGGAAAAATGTTGCCTGGTCTGATGAGTCTCGATTTCTGTTGAGACATTCAAATGGTAGTCAGAATTTGGCGTAAACAGAATGAGAACATGGATCCATCACGCCTTGTTGCCACCGTGCAGGCTGGTGGTGGTGGTGTAATGGTGTGGGGGATGTTTTATTGGCACACTTTAGGCGAGATGACTCAATAAAGCCCCCCGTAGTGCCAACTGGGCGTGGTTTAAATGCCACGGGCTACCTGAGCATTGTTTCTGACCATGTCCATCCCTTCATGACCAACATGTACCAGTCCTCTGATGGCTACTTCCAGCAGGATAATGCACCACGACATAAAGCTCCAATCATTTCTAATTGGTTTCTTGAACATGACAATGAGTTCACTGTACTACAATGGCCCCCACAGTCACCAAATCTCAACCCAATAGAACATCTTTGGGATGTGGTGGAACGGTAGCTTCGTGCCCTGGATGTGCATCCCACAAATCTCCATCAGCTGCAAGATGCTATCCTCTCAATATGGGCCAACATTTCTAAAGAATGCTTTCAGCACCTTGTTAAATCAATGCCATGTAGAATTAAGGCAGTTCTGATAGTGAAAGGGGGTCACATACCGTATTACTATGGTGTTCCTAATAATCCTTTAGGTGAGTGTATAATAAAAAGACACCCAGTACAACACCCGCATCACCGCAGCACCAATCCACCTATCAATTTCATGCTCCATCTTTCCCTCACTCGTGAACAACTATATTTATGAAAATTAAGTGTGGTTGTAGAGCTACAAGTCTCAAATGTCACACAGGCACTGTTATTTACATTATAATTATAAGTCATGTAAAATATTTAAATTCCATCTAGGGGTTGGCTATATCGTTCAGAATATTACTCGTAATAGTTTCTCGCCCAGAAAAAACTATCATGTCAAACTAATTTAATGACGTAAATGAATCCAGTACACAGGTTTAGGCTCATGTGGGTTATGCAGAAAAGCAAACATGGCTGGAATCTCACAGTAGTCACTCCTGACTGTAGGGAAAGATACATTTCTGAGGTATTTTGGCTTCTTCAGGCCCCCGTACCAGTTGCCTGGTAACAAGGGGGGGGGGGGGGGGGGGGGGGGGGCTGGGGCTAACTCTAACCTTAACCCTCTCACCACAAACAAGAACAATGACATGGGTGTTCATGCCAGAAAAATGTATTGAAGCACAAACATTCCCCCCAAAATTAAAAACTGCTAAACTGATTTATCAAGTTTAGGAACATACATTTTTAAGACCCTAGAAGAATTTTCCGTCCGTTTGCTCGTCACATGATCAGCTGGCGAGTGACCACTTAAAGATGGAGCAAGCCAGCTGTAGCGACGCCTGCTAACTCTGGTCGTATATTTCTATCGCTATAAATGTTATTGAGTCATCTCGCCTCTGTCCGGTGCGCCCCAGGCCAACTGTGGCTACATCATAGCTCACCCTCACCAGTGTGTGAATGTGTGTGTGAATGGATGAATGATACACTGTAGTGTAAAGCTCTTTGGAGTCCTTACTCTGAGAGGCGCTATACAAGTGCGGATCATTTATCTTGTTTGAAATAACTTTGAGATTAAAACATGTTCAGATGTTGCCCAGCCCTGCATCCATCCACCCGTCAGCCGTCCGTCCGTCCAGCAGCTGTTGTCTGTTGACATGATCTGTTAGGAAGCTGCAGAACCTTTTAGTCTGATAAATTTGATGAATCACCAGAACAAATCAAACCAGTTGAATAGCTGGTTTGGTGTGGTAGCAGGATGACAGAATGTGTAGTTTTGGTTACATCAGCGATTATGATGTTCTGACTCCAGATTACCATCAGTGGTTAGTCGGCCCAAACGAGCCAACCTCTTAAACCTTCATGACATGGGAGTGAGACACGGCTGTGTTCCAACACACTCAGGCTTAGTAAACTAAGATGAAAAGTCTGAGGATTTTCCAAAGATGTAGGAGCTTCTCAGGCCTTCCAACTCCCTGCAGATCACAGGTCTTACTCAGAACCACATGTTGTGGTGGAAGAGCAGAAAGGCACTGCACATCATCAGGACTGATGGTGAGTCAGAACAAAGCAGCGTGGAGCTGTAGGAGGCCAGCTACCAGATCCCAGTATCCTCATCTGACCCAGTGCCTGAACCTGACCCGACTGACAGGAACACACATAAAACCCAACCAATCACTTTATTAGATTAGACAGATCGTTTTCAGTAATAATCTTCAGAATTTAAATGAAATAAAAGCTGATTTAGAAGTTTAGTTACGGAATTTGTTTGAAGTCTGGGTAAAAAAAACAACATACTGAATTATAAGTTGTTTTCTGTCTGTAGTTCAGGGCTCGTCTAAGGCCTGTCTTGTTAGTTTAACACTCATCCCTAAGTAAACAAACAGGAAATTAAAGAAAATCTGAAAACATAACAATAGCCTCCATGGTTTTGTCATAGTGAGGTGTTTTCTTACGAGCAGAGTAGGGCTGCACGATATTAGGAAAACCTGTGATATTCGACAACAATGATTAATATTGCGATGACAATATTACTTGCGATAAATAAAAACTTAACTCAGGAACAAAAATAATCAAAAACAAAGAAATGAAAAATTCATAAAAATGAGAAAAGCAAAAATGTGAGGAAAGGGAAAAAGAAAATGAGCAAGAAAAGACAACCAGTGGATCCCGGGAAAAGCAGAATCAGCAGAAAGAGATGAACAAAGCTAACTCAGGTGTTTGCTAACCATCAAAATTAAGTGCTGTCCGCCTCAGGGGCAGGCATCTAACCTGAGAACCCACCCAGTTGGCCAAATGGATGAAGAGCTTTATTTAGTTGTTAAAAAAAATCATGCTTCCATTTGATTGACAGAATGCATTATGTGTAGCAAACATTTGAGCTGACCGTTCATTGCGATATTTATCTGTTCTTTGCAATATGCATATTGTGCATGCTGATATCGCGATAACGATACGTTTACAATATATTGTGCAGCCCTAGAGCAGAGGATAAAAAAAACACGATTTTTAAATGTTTTTGTATGGAGATGAAACAAACAAGAATCATGAAATGAAACCAGTCAATGTAATTTTTATAGTAAATTTCCCCACATTTTGTCACAACCTGCCAGGAGCCCAGCTCTTTGTTTCCTGTTTTACTTTGACATCCTTCTCTCTCCTCTGTGTCACTTCCTGTCCTCCGTTAACCAGATTCATCCCAGCTGTGTTCACTTGTATTTAACCTCTCTCTGTTCTCCTTTTCAGTTGCCAGTTCGTTGTTGTCTTCTAGCTCTTCGTTCCAGCTGTGATTAGTGTTTGCTCTCAGTATTTTTGACTTAGTTTTGGTGCACCCGTTTCTGCACTTTTTGCCAGCTAACTTGGATTTGCTTGTTGGAATATTTACCTGCTTTTTGACCTCTGCCTTAATAAAGGACATCTGCCTTTTACCTCCTAGTTCTCAAGCCTTGCTTTTGGGTCCAGTTCCCTGTACCTGACACATTTCAGTTACAGAAACATCAACCAGGTGTCCTGTGGTCGGCATTATTAGATATTAGTTCAAAATGTTTTAAAAGAGAATTCAAACTGAATCAATAACATGAAACGGAAAACCTGATGAACACGTCCAGAATCTCCGCTTCTGTTGCCAAGAGGGAAAATGAGTCTCATTACTTTAAATGAAAGTTCATCTGTGAAGTTTAGGTGATGTTAAAGAGCTAGCCTGTGGTAATCAGTACCTGTTGTTCAGGATTTAGCCAGGCCCAAGGCTCCATCTGCTGTCTGAACACTCACATGTGAACCTTCAGCTCTGTGTCTGCGTTCAGTTAACTTCAACCCAGATCCATGTGCTGAAGGAAAGGGACGCAAAGTTCTGCCGCTCCGACAGAGAAGAAGCTGCATCCGAGAGTCTGACCAAACTCGCTTTTAATCATCAGGGATT